TTCCCTGGCTTTCTCTGAGGTTTGACCTAAGTACATTCCTCTTTCCTTCTTTCTTTTTTCCTTAATTTTGAAAGATCGTTTTCTCCTTTTTTGGTTAACTATTTTTAGGTAAATACACACATGCATGCACATGGCTACGAGCTTATGAAGGGTGTAGTAAATATTTTTTTAAATGCTTAAAATATTCAAGAAAATATTTAAAACATTTCAATAAATATTTAAGAAACATTCTAAAATACATGAACTTGTGTAAAGAACTAGCTGTACGATGCAATACTTGCTTTTGGAAATTAAACTTTGAAATAAATAATGAAATATTACAATTCGAGTTTAATATGCATTCTGAAAGTGCTGAAATGAACTTTTGATCATAAAGCATTGAGGAACAGTAATTTAAGGCAAAGAATGCGGTCTCAGTTTACCAGGAATTTGCATATTTTGCCAATATTTAATGTAATCTCATAGAAGATTCTTTTCTAAAGCATGAGATTTACTAGCTAGATTCACAGACTTTATCTTGAGTCTCTTGATTAATTTTTAAAAAATTTAAGTTCGACTCCTCTTTAGTTACATTTTAGTCAGTGGAATGCAGGTAACACATTTTGTTCTTCTTTTCCCAGAAACTGATGTGTTTATTCTTTTATGGACTCAGAGGGACTTTTTAAATTAACTTCAATTTTTACGGCCTTCTTTTCATATCCCATGTGTGAATTTATTGTGGAGACTGATGAATGATGGAACTAACTTTAGCAGCCTTCCTTCTGAATTGCTTTGCTTGGGCGAGTATAGAAAACTTTTGGCAATGTGGTTCAGACCTGAGTTTTAGCACTTAGGGGAAACTTTTTTAGAGCAGGCCAGGATATGAATCAATATGCAGGGAGCATTTGAACACAAAACATACTTTTTAAAAATTCACTGAACATTTGAAAGCTTTTTCAGTTAAGGGTATATGACTGCAGTTCATCTCCCTTTTTCACGATTTTCTTTTTTAAAGTATTGATTTTATTAGTGCTCAAGATGAAGCTAAGTAAAATTACAATCCTAAAACATTTTGGTTAATAGTTCTAGTTAATATAATCCATATTTTAGAAAAATATCATGGGTTGTAATTGAAAGAAATCATCTGGGTCTAAAGAATACCTCCTGTGGGTAGCCCTATTAAGAATAATTCTGAGTAAATATAATTTCCTGGACTTGCAAAGCAGCCAAAAGGTTTTCTTCCTTATAAACCTGGAGGTTTTGGTGTTTGGCCCCTGTTGAGATCCAAGGGCTATCTGGGCTGATTAACGTGTATGAAGTTAACGTATACCAGCTAGAAAGGCAGAGCCAGTTTTATCTGGTTCTGTACTACTGTGAAGTAATTGATGTCTGCATTATTTACTCATGTGTGTGTGTGCGCATTGAAAGTAGGAGGTCTGGTCTCCCTGGGCATCATACTGCTGTCTTCTTCAGGGTTACTGCTTCCTCTCCTAGCCAACCCCAAACAGTAGACGGGCTCTCCCCAGCATTCCAACTAGATTTTCTTTCTGTTCATATCACCATTTTAAGCCACATTTTCCATCACATGGTAAGAAACACTGTAAATAATTGAGGTGATCCATCAAGAGCCCCATTCTTGATCATGAAAAATTGCATAACTCAGTAGAAGTCAATTAAAAACCACAAACTTCAGAACCCTTTGCTCAGGGAAGATTTATTATTATAGACGGCATTTAATACAATAGATTTTGGGGCTCAAAATTTTTTTAAGTTCTAAAAATTCAGTTAAAGCTTGACAGTGACCTTGAGTAATAATATTTACAGAATATCAAACTGTATTAGTTCTTTGAAATGAAAAGGATGAATTTTTTTCTTTCTTTAGCACAAGATGTCTGACACATTTGGGATTTTATAACTCCTTTTGAAACATCCCACTGTGGGATACCTTTTTTTTTCCCCGTGAAGATTTTAAATGATTCTTACTCTTTGGTTATGACTATAAATGAAAAGTAGAAAAATGAAATGAGAGAAATCAGGATATTTTCCTGTATCCAACCAAACACCTGAACAATTAGAACTTGCTAGGTAAGTGACTCAAAATGTTTGCTATCTGGTTGCTTGGTTAGGACACTTCCAACATTTTGATAGAATGTAATAATTTGTACTACTACTGCATAGCATTTAAACAATGATTTAGTTTTTTTAGAGACATCTAATACTGCTTTAAGAGCCTAAGGGGAAAATACTCTCTAAAATGTCGTGATCCGTAACATTTTTCTTCCCTTTTAGGGTTTTTCATGTCCAAAATATAAAATGAAAGAGCAAGACCAGAAGTATTTATCTACGTATTTTGAGGTTCTGAATCTTTGCAGCCTAAGTTTAAAATGAGGCCAAAGGCTTAGGCAGGTTCAGCAGTCAGCCCGTCAGACGACTAACTCCAACCAACAGCACACGTGACGTGCTTCCTACTGAAATTAAACTGCCAGATAAAAAGGAAGAATTGTCCCCTGTTTAATAACAAAGAATGCGGTCATTAGAATTCTTCAGATTTGAAATTCCAGCAGTGTTCTTGTGTTTTGCTCTTTAAGTGTAACACGAATGAATAATGTCAAAAATAAACCTCAAAAAACCCCCAAAACCAAGCAGTCCTTTGACTTTATAAGGCTCAACATCCAATACAACAAATTCTAAAAATACCTAAGACCAGTGAAATGTCAAAGCTGAGGGGATAATATAATTGGAATAGGACAGATTTTTTAAACCGTTTAATTTATTTAAACCTACTATGTTAACTTTGTTCATTTCTGTTGAGACACTACCATTTCCACTGACTAGTAGGGGCCATAATATTTCATATTCCTATACATATTTGACTTTGACCTCGTAAAAAGTCCCTTGGGTCTATAATACTTTTATTCTTGTATAATCTGAAACAAATCCTTTCCTTTTAAAAATCAAACAGACCACGTTATACACACAGTTGACTATTTACAAAGCACCCAATTAAATCCTACTTAATTCTCTCTCTCTCTGTAAAAATTCCATCTAACTGGTATGTACTCCTCACATTAAATGCACAATGTTCACAAGCCCCGACAGTCCTACCTAACCTAGAAAATATTACCTTCCTTACAAAAGAAAGTCTTCAGAGTGTAAGGTTTTAAGAAATGAGACCAGAAATCACAGTACAAGACAGATAAACCTACTTTAATATTCACATGTAAAAGTTACACATCACAAGAGTTGGACAGTAGTTTACCAGGAACTAACATAGCTATCGTGAAAATCCTTTTTATAAAAAAATAATCTAGCTGTGGTCATCAGAATTTTTGGTCTACTTAGGTTAATGTTTGAAGATCGACTTTTATCCCTGCTTGAAGGATTTGCCATTATTCCTTTTTAATTTTTTTTCTCTCACCGTTGCCTATTAATATTCTTTGGAGGAAGGAAAGCAGAAAGTGTTCATTTCCAAGAGGTTGTCCTTTGGTAGCAAGCAGAGAACATTTTTCATTTCTATGATTTTAAATAATCTGTACACACATGAAACTTCAGTAACATTAAGCTTTAGTGTAAGATGAAACGTGATAAGCATTTTTTTCCACTTTGATAAAACAGCAGATTTCATAAACTCCTTAAGGATCCAAGCATTTCCCCGTCCCATATGCAAAATCATTCAGAATCCACATTGACTTCAATCAAAAACATTCACTGACTCTTTATGCATTACACCATCAAATCCTGTACTTAAAAACTGATAAAGTATTTTCCCAACATGTATGCTTCAAATACAAAGATTTCCACCTAGGTTAAAGAAAAGACATTTGAATGGACTCAGGACAAGTTTATTTTGTGATTACACATTTCATGCAGTCATGCAGGGCCTCTAGCTATAACTGTGACTTCCGATTCTACACGGTACTTTGCAAAACAAAAACAAATTAAAAGCCAAGCCAAACAGAAAAGACATTCAAGATATCAAGAGCTCTGCAGGTTGAGCTGAAAAATAATTTTTCAAAAGAAATAATTCCATAGATTTAAAAAAGACATACAATATTTACAAAAAATATTTAATTAAAAATATCTTAATTACAGTAGTCTATTAAAGCATATACTTTCTCACACTTATAGAACATCTCTATATATACACGTATGAAATGTCACTCAGTTATCTATACAATATGTAACATTCTTGCAGGGAAAAGAAAGCTCCCTGCCCGGTTTTAATCATCTATTTTAAACAATAGATGTTAAAAAAAATTATCTACAATGCTCTGTTATATTAGTAAAGCTTCGAAACAAAAATTGAGCTCCTTGGTCACATGTAGGCTTCTAAAGTCGTATTTAACTCTCGATCTTCTATTTATCAGTCCTGTTACACTTACGCTTAAAAGTTTAACTGCACCTCAAAAAACACAGAAATGTACAATTCACAGCGGTTATAAATGAAGAGACAAAAGAGAATACGGATGTAGACTGTTTATGAACGTGCAAAAAGAAAAAGATGAAAGTTTTATTTTTCTTTCCTCTCGCTCTTGGAATGACGGGTGAAAACGTTTCTAGGATTTGCTGATGTTTTCTCCTTTCCTCCGGTGCCATTTTTTTCTCTAAGTTCTGCTGTTTCCCCCTCCCTCTCTAGTCTCCTGGCTCGGGCTCAGGCGACCGCACACCTGTGGAAGAGGAATGAATAGAGGGGGTGTGGGAACCTTCCCGTTGCAGACTAACTGGCGCCACCGACCAAACTCAAGACATGCTTGATCAACAACCCAAAACAAACCACCAGGTCGGACAGCACCCGCAGCCCGCGGCCGGCCAGGCGCCGATCGGACAACTGCGGGCCCCCGGGAAGGCGGGAGAGGGGTCACGCTCACGGGCCCTGTCCGCATCCCCCTTCCTGGGTGTTAGACTGCTGCGCGGGGACACACGGGCAGTTCCCACGCCCTCAGCAGGGAGGAGGGCAGTTAGAGCCCGCAGTCACTAGAGGAAGCCCGCGGGTGGCAGGGCCAAGAGCTGCTGCGTCCCCATTTAGGGCGAAGTCCCAGTTACTAAAGCGAAGTTGCGGATTCCCTCGCTAACTGGCTGGCACAGAGGTGGGGAGGGGGAGGGGCTGCCCGCCTCCTCGGGAGTTCGCCCTCCGAAATGCCGGGGGCAAAGAACACTGCGGTGCCTGGCACCGGAAGCCCTGGAGCACTCGCGTCTCCGGGGATCCGCCACGGGAGACGGGAAAGGCGCGCTCACCTGGACAGCGCGGCTCAGCGGCACAGAATGCTGTCGCCCTGTTTGTTCACCGCGCCGGCCTGGAACAGCAACGGAACAGCAAGGGAAAGGTTAGAAGCAGGCACGAACCCCGCACTCGTCACTGTCCTGGATTCGGTCCGGGAAACCAGGCTGGCGCTCGGATTCTCCCACCCCAGCCTGCAGCCCTGGGGACCCCCCCTCCCCTCCCCCGCGGCCGGGGAACAGGCTGGACTTGACAGGCCAGGGTGCGCCCAACCCCAGTCCCACCCTGCCCGCTCACCCTAACCCGCGCTACTTGCGCCCAGCCGGCTACAGGCGGCCTCGGGCGCCCGGAGAAGGGGGTCGCGGGTGCTGTCATTCTCGAGTGCCCGGGACCCAGGAATGGGAGCGCCGTCTCCGGCCACCCAGTCACCGCCCTCCCGGACCCCCGCGGCGTTCGCTCGGGCCGGCGCCCGGCCTCTCACCGGGTCGGTGTTGAGTGCGGTGAGCGGAGTCCTCGGCGGAGCTGCCGGACAGGTCCCGGCTGAGTGGTGCGGCGGCGCCGGCGGGGGCGGCTGCCTCAGCAGCGCCGGGTGCGTCTCCAGGGCCAGCTGCAGGTCCAGGATGTAGTCGATAACGTGCTGCAGAATCTCCACTTTGCTGACTTTCTTGTTGGGCGGGATGGTAGGCACCAACCTTCGTAGGCGACTATAGCAGTCGTTCATATCGCACTGCAGGCACAGCGCTGGCTCCTCCGCCGCCGCCTCCGCCGCCTTGCAGCGAGCGGCCGCAGCAGCCGCCGCCGCAGCCGCCGAGCCGCCCAGGCTGTGGCTGTGCTCCGCCAGGCAGCGCAGCGCCAGCTCCCCGCCGCCGCAGCCCGACGGCGCCTTGCGGCCCGAGGGGCGCACCGGGCTCACCGCCTTCATCGCGCGCGCCCTGTGCGAGGACCCGCTAGGGCGAACAAAACAGGCAGGCAAGCGCCGGGCCCCTGCCCGTGGCAGGCTTCACGCTCTTTTCCTTCGCGACCGGCGCGCTCGGTCCGCGCTCCAGGCACCGCGAAGCTCCCAACGATCTTGCGCCCAACAATTGACTAGGGTCGCTCCGGGTTTTGCGAGGGGATCTCTGGTCAGTGGGCGACACTCGCCTGGGACCAAAAGGCAAGAAAAATCAAAAGCACCAGAAGGAAAGCTGCCCACCGGGGCCCCTAGTCGCTCCCCTCGGAGCTCCGACTACTGCCTAGCCTCCGCCGCCGTGCTCCCGCACGTCCGCGGTTCCCCCGCTCCCAGAACTGACTCACAAACGCACCTCCTCGCTGCTTTCAGTGGGCCCTCGCGCAGCTGTATTTATAGAGCCCCGAGCCCTAGGGGCGGGGCCAGAGCGCAGGCTGGGTCCCCGCGTGAGCGGTTTGGCGCTGGGCTGGGCGTGTGGAGGGAGCCGGGGAGGGCGGGGGCTCTGGGCATCGCTGAGGGGGCGGGGAGCTGGGCAACCCGGCAGAGGGGTGGGCGGAGGGTCGGGAGTGGTCAGCCAATCAGGCAGACGGTGCCACCTCAGGGAATGATGCCTGGGCCAATGGGATGGGTACTCCGTTTCGTCAAAGCCGTAGGTCGGAGCTCTGAGAAAAGAGCCGGGTGGGAGCCTGGCCAGGCTGGTGTGTACCCTGGGGAGTGGGAAGAGAGAGAGAAGTTCCTGTGTAGAACTGCGGGAATGTACGGCTGGAATTCATTCTCCCTCAGCTTAAGCTGCTGAAGCAGCGCTGAGCCTTCCCGGATCGAGAATCTCCTGCCACTCCGAGTAGCGCGGTGCATAGGGACCCTCCGCCCGCCACCCATCATCACTCCATACCTGGGATTCCAATGCCTTAAGAGACACTGCTCAAGAAGGCACGTTCCTTCTGTTCTCTATTTTTCCCTCTCCGTTTCATTATTTGCCTTTTCACAATTGCCTAAACCATAATGATGGAATGGAATGTGTAGCCCTTTCGTTTTCTTTTATGAAAAGGTTTAAAGCTTGGGGGTGGGGGAAGAAAGAATGCAGAATGCAGTTTTTTGGTGAAAGGAGATATAGATAAAACGAAAACGTCAGGTTTTTTCTTTTGCCCATCTAGGTGCAAAAGTGGTCTCAAGAAATGTAATTGCCTTGAGTATTACATTTGAGCATGTAAATATTAAAAATGCATGGACAGAGTATTTAAAATTCTACCATGACGTATAGTATTAATCCGTTTTATGTAAAATTCATACCTGTAACTCAATGTAGGCCATTAATGCACCGCTTTAAATAAGATGCTGAGACTATGTAGAGTCTCCTTTTGCAACAAAGCATTAAAACTTACACTTCCAGTCCATGGAGTCCTGCTTGGGTCCCACCGTGCCCAAAGTGTGCTAATTAAGGATGGTTCTGTTAGATTTCTCATGGAAAAGCTGTTCTTCAAGGGTTCAAAACAAAATTGCACAATGTACTTTGATAGCACCTTGTGTAAAGTCAAAGAGCTTACATGAACTAAGGGGGGAATGCTGGAGGGTGGAGGGCTCAGGGCAGAGGGGGAGAAAAGGGAGAAAAAATATTGGGAAAACTGTAATAGCATAATCAATAAACTTTTTAAAAAAGTAAAAATTGAGCCCTTCAGATGAGAAATGAGCATAAAAACTCGCAGTCAGCGGGGACATAAATTTTGAGTGCCTTCACTCTGCAAACCTCCCATCTTTAGACAAGCTAAGAGATGAATTAACTCGAGTTATCTTCATTCATGTTCATGATATGGATTGGCACCTTCATTTTTAAAGATAATTGAATGGGGCGTGGACCTCCTCTCTTCCTGTCCTTCCTCTGTTAGGAAACCTCTCTCCTTTCCCACAGCTGACATACTTGCAGCGGGCAGGTGTTTTGTTTAGCCACGTGGGTACTTTATGACTATTGCACTACTAGTATTTCCCCAGAGCACATTCCTTTTTCCTGATGAAATGAGGAGTAATTATTTAATGCTGGTTTCATAAGTGGATGCAGCAACCCTCCTCTCCCCTTATACATTACTGCCTCTAATAGTTGTTTGGAAACAAGTGACATTCTCTTTTACTTACATGCATATATAAATGGTCTGTGTGCACACTTACCAAGAGTAAGTATAAAACCCCAAAGATAGGTTCCCCCCAAATATTGTCATAGTTTTATATATTCTTGGGTTAGTATAAACACACAGAGAATATTGTCATTTTAGATAAAAAGTTGGTTGATTAAAGAGGGAAAAAAGACTTTGGAAGTACCATAAATATAGTGGTCTGTTTATAGAAAATGCACAAGTCATTTCAATAAAAGTGCTTTAAAAAGTAAAAAAAAGAAGTTGGTTGAAGGAGCACTGGTAGTGGTAAGCTGTTATCTCAGAGCCTGTCATATCAGCACAGATGATGATAATACATGCATATATGTACAGACATTTTGTTCCATCAGTTTTTCTTTTTTCTAGAGTATAAAAGCAGCTCCAAAACTTAAAACCCAAGATTTTTCTCTGTTTGGAAAAATTGAACTATGCTAATATGCATTTCAAAACTATATATCCTAACTTAATTGAAATTAAAATTTAATTTTTAAATATGTGACACATAGGGACAATGCTATTCATCTCTTTGTACTTTGCTAAATCTCAGAGGGCCATGCCCTGGATGTGTGGCAAGTGCCAAATGCCTCAGTTTCAGGTTTTGTTAGAGGTGCTCTTGGTGACTGGCTTAAAATCAGAAAGGCTGAGTTACTGTGGGAGATAAATTCAAAGGCAAGTACACGGGCCATGTGAATAAGAGCATCCAGGAAAAATGTGATCCCCAAATCTTGCCAGTGGAGTGGGCAAAACCAGGTATTATATTATTCTTTTTGAAGGTTGGAAGGGACGATGACATTAAAAATTAAAGTGCTATGTAAAATATTGTACAATGGAAATAAAGAATAATATCCTGTGCTTTGGGGTCCCTGAAACCAGAGACTATTAGGGGCTACACAATGTGTACTTTCAATTCTTAGACATGACGTCAAAGCTGAAGTCACAAAAGACTATTGGCACTGACAGCTCAAAATAGAGTTTACTCAGCAATTACCAGCTTTTGGAAAAACCTTACAAGCTAAATCATTTCTACTGTGCAAAGAGGGAAATTTAGTTTCCCACGACTCTTCCTTTTACATCAAAATGCTTCCCTCGCACTTGTAAAAATAAGCTGGGCTAGCCAAAAGCCCTTTGCCACGAAAGTGCTAGAGACTACCAGAATGTTCCTCTATGTGAAGCTGGGATGAAATATTCATAGAATTGCGAGGAAGCCCTGGTGACCAGAGTCATGTGTACATCCCTCCTCCAGACAAAGAGGTCTGCGGCCCTTTCTGGGGATGCATTCTAGAGGCTAATCAGACCCTCGCTGAACTGTAACACCCAGGCTCTCAGAATTCACAATCGCCCTGTGTTTACATGAAGTAAGGGTATCCAAGCATATTGTGCTATTCAGTGCAAATGCCTTTTTAGGACTTGATACTTCTTTCTCCATGGCTGGCAGTGAAACAGTGGGTGGGCTCAGACACACAGATAAACATGAGCGTTCCCATGCCTTGGTGTCTCTCTCTATGCATGTGGTCACTGAAGGAGGCACAGCCATTCTTTCAGGGCATACAAAACCACTATGTACTCTGTAGCAAGAATCTCCCTTGCTCCAAAAGAGAAAACCAGGCAATGTGGCAATTCAAGCTCAAGGTTGCTTTATCGGGCACGTAAGCGTTACAAACTTACTTGCGCTACCCTTGGATTGCTGATCCTGGAAGCACTGATAACCTCTTGGTTAGCCCGGTCTTGGAAAAGGCTTATAAGAAGGAGATGCTCATGTATTGAACATAGCAAGGCAAATGTGTCCAGCAAAAATGCCTACGTCAGGAGGTCTAAAAGGTAGTCTGTTGAAGTAAGAAATAGGTGATTTTTAAAAAGCCCTCCTCAGGCAGATTAAGGACAGAAAAATAAAAGAGGTGTCACTTTTTACCTTAGGAGATGCAAAGAGTATGGGCTCAAAGCTCAGGCATTCTGGGCTCCAATTTTGGCTCCGAGTTTTTTATCTTTAAGCTGGATTCTTAAATTTCTTAAATCTCC